GTTTCGGTAAGGATTGGAAAAGGTGATGAATAAGAACATAAAATATAGTGTTCCATCTTCTAAGTTTTTACAATTTTTACTTAACCACATCGTTATATATTCTTTTTCCTTCTGGCTGAATAGGAATTATCTCGATAACATTTGAGTAAATTTATCCATTAAAAGATAGGCTTACTGGAGAAAAAAAACCAACGAATTTCCAAATGGGTTACCAGCTTTATCTGTGAGAAATGATATAACAGATTACCAAAGAATTTGTTGAGCAATTTTCTTGAAACTATTTCAGTGCAAAGCAGACACTAAGTTCATCTTATATGAAATTGAGTAGGTATGAAGCAACTGATGTTTGAGAAAGACTTTTTAGGAGGAAATGAAATAGTTCAGCAATTGTCTCTCCAGTAAAAAATGAGGATTTTTAAAAATATTTTAGCTTGAAGAAAGGGCTAGTTAAAAACAACCACCATCATCAATAGCTAACCAGAAATCAAAACTGAAACTTAGTGGAAGGGTATAAGGAAGGTGGCAAGAGTTGGATTTTTTTAAAAATTGCGGTAAAATGTACATTACAAAATTTACCAGATTTTTAACTGTACGATTCAGTGGCTTTAAATATATTCACCATGTTGTGTAACTATCATCAATTTCTATTTTCAGAACCTTTCATCATCCAAAATATTAATAGAAGTTCTGTGCCCATTAAACAATAACTCTTCATTCTCTCCCAGCCCTTAGCTCCCCACTCCTGATAGGGTTTCTTCTTTCTGTCTCTATGAATTTGCCTCTTCTATGTACCTCATATAGGTGGAATAATAATATTTTTCCATTTGTGTTTGGCTTATTTCACTTAGCATAATGTTTAAAAGTTGTACATGTTGTAGAAGGTATCAGAACGCCTTTTTGTGGCTATATAATATTCCATTGTATGTATATACCACATTTTGTTTTTTCATCTGCCAAATAGACACCTGAGTTGCTTCTCTTCTTAGGCTATTGTAAATAATACTTTAAACATTAGTGTGTAAATATCTGCTCAAGGCCCTGTTTTCAATTCTTTGGGATATATACCTAGAAAGAGAATTGCTGGATCATATATAATAGTTCTATATTTAAATTTGTGAGGAACTGCCAAACTGTTTTCCACACTGACTACACCATTTTACATCGCCACTGGCAATGCCCAGGGGTTCCAATTTCTCCAGATTTTCATCAACATTTGTTACAGTCTATCTATTTTTTCGATAGTACCATCCTTTGGGGCATGAGGTGACATCTCATTGTAATTTTGATTTGCATTTCCCTAATGACTAATGACTAATGAGTATCTTTACATGTCCTTATTGGTCATTTGTTTATCTTCTTTGGAGAAATGCCTATTCAGGTCCACTGACTATTTTTTAATTGGTTTTGTTATTGTGGTTGTTGAGTTATAATTCTTTATATATTCTAGATATTAATCCTTTATAGATATATGATTTACAAATATTTCTCCCTATTTTGTGTGTTGTCTTTTTGCTTTCTAAATAGTGTCTTTTGATGCATAAAAATTTTTAATTTTGATAAAGCCTTACTTGTTTTTTTCTTTCATTACCTGTGCTTTTGGTATCATATCTAAGAAATCCAATGTCATGAAGATTTTTCCTGATGTTTTCTTTGAAGAGTTTTATAGTTTTAGCTCTTATGTTTAGATATTTGATCCATTTTGGGTTGATTTTTGTGTATGATGTAAGGTAAGAGTTCAACTTAATTCTTTTGCATGTGGGTGGCCAGTTTTCCCAGCACCATTTGTTGAAAACACTGTCCTTTCCTCATTGAATGGTCTTGGCATCTTGTTGGAAACCAATTGACCACATATGTGAGGATTTATTTCTGGGCTTTCTATTCTGTTCTATTGGTTATATGTCTATTGTTATGCTAGTCCCACACTGGTTAGATTACTGTCATTTTGCAATAAGTTTTGAAATCAGGAAATACGAGTCTTCCAGCTTTGTTCTTTTTCAAGATTGTTTTATCTTGAGATTCCATGTGAATTTGGATGGGGTTTTCTATTTCTGCAAAAAAAAAAAATTGGGATTTTGATAGTGATTGCATAAATTTATAGATTGTTTTGAGTAATATTGTCATCTTAACAATATTAAACCTTGCATTCCATGAACACAGGGTATCTTTCCATTTATTTAGGTCTTCTTTAATTTCTTTCAGCAATGTTTTGTAGTTTTCAGTATACAAGTCTTCTGCCTATTAAATTTATTCCTAAGTATTTTATTCTTTTTGATCTTATTATAAATGGAATTGCTTTCTTAATTTCCTTTTATCAAAATACAACTGATTTTTGTGTTTTGATTTTGTGTTCTGCAACTTTGTTGAATTTATTAACTCTGCCGATCTTTTTGGAAGCGTTAGGACTTAAACCATGGCATCTGTGGACAGAGATAATTTCATCTCTTTTCCAATTTGGATGCTTTTAATTTTTTTTTCTTGCCTAATTGCTCCAGCCAGAACTTCCAGTACTATGTGAAGTGGTGGAAGCCATCAAAAGTACCAATCAGCCTTCAGAACATACAATCCTGATATTTGGAGGACAAGGGCCTTTTTGCCCACCCTGGCTCCAGCAAGCCACACCAGAAATGCGGGCTGCTGCCATTGTAGCTGCCCGACACAGGCCTGAGGGATGGACAATGGTAACCACTGCCATATGTGAAAGGCTGAAATTCACTGAAATTTACCCTCCATTTTATGAAGGTCTCCCCTGGACGCTCCAAGGTTTTGATGAGACTCTAGAGTTCCAATATATAGATTCCTGACTTAGGATGGTTGGACTTAAGATTTTTTGACTTTGTGATGGTGTGAAAGCAATACACATTCAGTAGAAACCCTACTTCCAGTACCCATATAATAATTCTGTTTTTCACTTTCAGTACAGTATTCAATAAAGTACGTGAAGTATTCAATACTTTATTATAAAATAGCCTCTGTGTTAGATGATTTTGCCCAATGTTAGGCTAATATAAGTGTTTTGAGCACATTTAAGTTAGGCTAGGCTAAGCTGTGATGTTCGTCTGGTTAGGTGTATTAAATGCATTTTTGACTTACCATATTTTCGACTTATGATGGGGTTTATCAGGACCCAACTCCCATCATAAGTCAAGATCATCCATGATTACTTCAGACAGTTCCTGCCTGTTCAGTGGTTATTTAGGTGAAGGGATAGATTACTAGAGCTTCCTACTCTGCCGTCTTCCGTGATGTCCCTCCCGCAAGAGCTGTATTTCTCATCTGCCCTGGTCACTTCTTCCAGCCTGATAACTCTTTGTTTCAATAAAGTCAGGATCTTGGGGTAAATTCTTTGTGGGACAGTTGGCTTCACTTTGTTTCAAAGCCACAGATTTTACTACTGATCCTGATTTTTAATTGCACAAATGTGATATGACACACTTTTGTAATTAAAAAATAAATCTTGAATGTGATTGTGGAGATAATTCAATTAAATTTTACTTGCTTCTGAAGTCTGTGTAAATCTAAATCAGGCAGAAACTTTTTGTATATGATTTGTTTACATTTAAAAGCCACAACTGACCCATTTAAAATATTTTTTCAATGACAAATCAGTGAAACAATGTCTTAGGAACATTTTTATCTGTTCTGTTCTGCAACCAACTTTTTTGTCAGTCAAGCATTAGCTTAATGAAAAAGAAACATCGGTCCTCTGTCCTGCATTTTCACCATCGTTTTCCCCCTGTCGGAATAATCTTAGATTTAGAATGTTAAAGAAAAGCAGTAAGAAAACTATGAGGGCTTTCTGGAAAGTATCCAGCCGTGTAACCGTTCTCATTATATTAACAATGGCTGGATACTTTCCGGAAAGCCCTCGTATATCACACTTTTATTAGGAAACAAAGTTTATAACTTTTTTCACAAAGATGGTGAATGTTGGAGCTTCCCATGTGAAGATAAACTATTCATTTACAATTTTAAAAAATACAGTGTTTCCAGCAGCTTCCTTTGGCATTACTAACATTTCCCACACTCTTGTGACGATATGGCTATCTAATCATTAGTTTCTGCTTCAAAATGTTCTTGATTCATGCTTTACTTCTGAAAAACAATAAAATAGATGCGTGGGGGGTTGTTTTGTATGTAAGAAAAGATCTATTAACTTGTTTTATTCTAAGAAAGATTTTCCCTTGCCATGAGATGAATATATTAATACATCTTTTGACCAAACAATCAGATTTTCTTCTTCTAGCAAGAGAACCCTTCCGAACTTGGAGACGACCACAGCGGCTGAGGCCGGGCAGCAAGGCTTTCTTGCAAATCCTTTGGCATTGTTCTCTCTGGCTTTCTAGAGAACGTTCTAGAGACAGGCTTCTAGAACTTTCTCCTTCCTGGCCTTACTGAGACTCCCTCTTAGGTTTTGCTTCTCTTTGATTTTTCTTCTAGCTCGAGGAGCAAAGCTCCATGTGAACTATTTCTTTTGAAGCTTTAAGGAAAAAAATAAAATAAAAGGCTAAGCACTGACTATGGAGAATGAGAGGGATCAGCTTTCAACTCTTCAATGTTTCCAGCATGAAACTGTCCTGTTTCGTGCCTGCTGCTGCTGTCCCTTTACAGTGGAGGTTGTCTGCTGAGGGACCCCTGACTCAGCTGCGGAAGCTCAGTTTTCCGGCCCAGGTAGTGGCCTGCTGCCTGGTCCCCACCCTGCCCCACGGCGCAGGCTGGGAGGGCCGGGGCTGTTTCACTTCTCCCCTCCCCAGCAGGCCAGCCTGGCTCCGCACGCCTCACCATCGCCCTCTCTCCCCACCGCCCGCCCCGTCTCTCTCTCCTCCACGTGTCCCTGGCTCCTCTTCCTCTGTGCCCGCTCTTCTCAGAAGTTAGCTTACAAAGCAAAGTTGTAACTTTGAATTCCTGTTTTTCCAACTACCCTCATGTGACAGGATATCTACTTATTGGAGGTTTTCCCTAAATTCAAGAGCCCTTTAAAAGGGACTGCTTCCTCTGAGCTTCTTTTCATCAGGGCAGCTCTGGGAGCTCAGGCTAGGTGGTGGCGGGGGCAGTCAGGCGCCCTGGCAGTTTTGTTTCTGTCCCACACTCCTCTCCATCCGTGGAAGAGAAGGATAAGCCGTGGGCCATGAGGCTGGCCCTGCTCCTGGTTTTTGTCTCTGTCATTCCGGGTGCTGTGCAGCTCTTGGGTAAGTCTGCTCTGAGGCAGGGGCCTTCGGACTTGGGGGGCCTCTGCCACCCCTTCCTCTTCTGGGTTCATGGTAATGGATTCCTTCCAACACCTGGACGTGGAGGGCAGCCCCCGCCCCTGCACCATGCACGCCAGGGCCAAGTTGCTTTCATCTGGTGGCCAGGCCTGGAAGCTGGGAGCTGGGGGAGGGAGGAGGCTGCTTCTCTGGCCTCAGGTGTTGCTTGGCCCAGAGCCCCACAGAACTTTCTGACTTCTGCCGTTTCGCATTGCTCCTTCCCCCTTTCATTCCTGCAGGGATTTCCTGCTCTGTGGCTTGCTCATTCTAGCTTCCGATTCCCAATATTCCTATCTACCTCCCCAACAACAAAATACCTTCTGAGTGTCTTTGGCCGAAAGGAGGACGGCATGGTGTCTCCCCCATCCTACTTCCAAGGATAGGATCCCAGATCATCCCTTCGAAAGCAATTCCATGCAGATTTTCACGCTCAACTTTCTCTGTGAACCATTTTAATCATGTTTTTTTTATTGCTAGAAAGTTCACCCTTATCTGTATTCTAAATTGTTCAAACTGCTACATAAGCAGATTCATTCCTGGGTTTTTTTTTTTTTTTTTTT